ACATTATGTTAAGCTTCATTTTTTGCATTAGATGAAGCTTTTATTTTTGCGATATTATATGCGACCATTATGTGAAGCTTTATTTTTGCGATATTATATGCGACCATTATGTGAAGCTTTATTTCTTGCGATATTATATGCGACCATTAGGTGAAGCTTTATTTCTTGCGATATTATATGCGACCATTAGGTGAAGCTTTGTGGGTTCTTTTAACAGTTGCTGATAACAAAGTTGCTGATAACATAAAATAGTTGCATAACATAAACTCTGATCTCTGTCTCCCAGTTGTGATCCTGATCCCTGTCCTCCTGTCGTTTTAGCTAGAAACATGTACAATATCTAATGCATTACATAGATAAAATACAACAAGCTGATAGTTAATAAATCCACTCTTAAAGGACCACTATAGGCACGCAGACCACTTCAGCTCAATGAAGTGGTCTGGGTGCCAGGTCCATCTAGGGTTAACCCTGCAGCTGTAAACACAGGAGTTTCAGAGAAACTGCTATGTTTACTTTAGGGTTAATCCAACCTCTAGTGGCTGTCTCACTGACAGCCGTTAGAGGCGCTTTCGCGCTTCTCACTGTGATTCTCACAGTAAGAAGACGCCAGCGTCCGAAAGCATTGAGTAATGCTTTCCTATGGACTGATTGTATCAGCCGATGACGTCAGAAGGGGAAGGAGAGTCCCCAGCGCCAAGGGAGCCCAGCGCTGAAAAAAAAAGGTAAGTGTTTAACCCCTTCCTCCTCCTAGAGCCCGGCGGGAGGGGGGCCATGAGGGTGGGGGGGGGGGGACCTATTAACACTATAGTGCCAGGAAAAGGGGTTTGTTTTCCTGGCACTATAGTGGTCCTTTAAGTGTAAAATCAGTAGGATGTTCGCCATCAGTTTTCAAGAATATGAATGTCTCACAACAAAAACAGCAAAGGTCAATTATGTGATTTATGCGATGAACTGGATTTGAAATAACTTTTGGATTCAAAAACCAGAGTGCGACCATTATGCTGTGGTGACTATTATGCGGTAAAATATGGCAAATAAAACAAACTATAGTTACCGCTGGGGCAGCAGCACCACAATCAAGTAAAAAATAATAATAATAATTATACACACCAGCAAGCAATAAATACTACTAAATTTCATGCTACTACAACCACTTATTCATAGGTAAAATTATTCCTGCAGCAGCGAACACTGGTGCGCAGGTTTGTCTACATGATTACGCCATGATACGTACAGCTACCAGGTACTGGGGTGCAGACTAGCCAGCCCCCCTCACACATGATGTATGGTTTGTGCGTGGTTTCTTGGGATTGGCTGACCATAGCACATTCTCTAAGAACAATAAAAATTTGGAGTTTGAAAGTGTGAAGGCGTGCGCGTGTTGGGGTGAGTGTGAGAAGTACGTCAGATTGTGCGGTTTGTAGTGTAGTAACAGTGTAAGAAGGATATGGGCGGAACGTAGGGAAGAATTTGTAATGGTCTCTTTGAGGACTAGGTTTATCAATGCCAACACAGGTCTGGAATGGTGGGATTGAATGGAAGAATGGAACAATATAGGACTTAGCTGGGGATAGAGTCAAATTCAGGGCCAACTCTGGGTATGAATGGAGGGTTATGTAAAACATTTCACTCGTCATATAGAGACGGTCTGAAAAACCCCAAGAGTAATAGAATTCATATAAGCCGGAGGCGTCAATGAGAAAAACAAGACAAAATGGAAAAGAGTAAATATAGAGCAACCTATTTATCTGGAGATAATACAACAGTAATGAAAAGTCACAAAACTGACTAAACTTCTGGAAAGCTGTGAAGCTGGCTGTGACTAGCAGGAAGAGCTTCGATACAGTGTAACCAGAACAACGAACTCTCACACTCAGCAAATTGTCTGGAACGGAACGCTCGTCCAACGTAGATCTCAAACAGCCAAAACAGCTGGAATCCATAAAACAGGAAATAAACAAGAACGGAAAGTACTGCAGATGTGAACTTGGAATATAGCCCGTTAAATAGCAGAATTAATGCTGATAAACAAGATATCATTACCACAGAGCAAGAACTGTATCAGCTACAATATGACATCATACCTATGTTGTACAGGAAACATGGACGCCATGTGTCACATGGGAAGTACTGGGAAGCAATAATAGACAGAGGTACCCGGTCGGGGTGCAAGGCAATCCGTCACAGGTGTTGTCTCAAGGGCTTCATTAGTTACACCAGGTGTGCTTGAGCTGGAACATTTGAAATACCTGAACTGGCTAGGGGTTAGTTGAGTGTCATGTTTGACTGCATGTTAGAAATATGGCTAAGTCAAAATAATGGTCCACAAAGTTATGAGAAGAGATCATTGCCCATCACAAACAAGGAACAGGATACAAAAAAGATGGCGAAGGCACTGAATGTTTCTAGAGACATCGTTGGAAGCACAGTTAGCAAGTTTAAATTTGAAGGAACCGTGGTTAAACTGCCTGGATGGAGCAGAAAAAGGAAGCTATAAAAGGCTGCAACCAGATTACTGAGAAGGCAGGTTGTGAAAAACTCTTGAGTGACTGCAAAAGACCTGCAGCAAGACTTGGTGTCAATGGGCACTAATGTTTCAGTGAGCACAGTAAGGGGCATACTAAAGGCAGAATATTTCAATGCCAGAACTCCAAGACATACAACACTACAGACCCAAAAGCACAAGAAAAGTAATCTATAATGTGCTCAAAATCATATAACTAAGCCACAGAAGTTTGGGATTCTATTCTGTAGAGCCATAAAACAAAACTGGAACTTTTCGGCCCAATGGATCGGCGGTATGTCTGAAGGAAGAAGAATGAAACATATGCTAAAAAGAACACTTTGCCTACAGTTAAACATAGTGGTGGCTCGGTGATGCTCTGGGGCTGCTTTGCATCCTCTGGCACTGGAAACCTGCAGCATGTGGAAGGCAAGATGGATTCATTTAAGTATCAGGAAATGCTAGGAAAAAACGTCATGCCGTCTGTGAGGAAGCGGAAGCTTGGGCATCACTGGACCTTCCAACAAGACAATGATCCCATGTGTGGCAGAACCACTGCTTGTTCATTTGTATTGTATGTTTTTCTCTGCCTTTCGTATATTGTTCCCCCGCTCCCCGTTCAGGAGCGCTCATGTGAAATGAACTCCTTTGTCTCCCGAACGGGGACCACCCTGATATCCCATTTAGAATGGTAGTTAGAACGTTCTAGTAGAACGTTCTCACCTCTAACATAATTGTGAAACCAATAGGGAAGCAATTAGTGAGTGCTCTCCTGGGTGGCTGCCATTTGGTATAGACGAACACCAGCCAGGGGCTGCATTCATAGATTGTTTCCAGACTCGTTCATCTCCCGAAACAAGGACCTCCCTGGTGCCCCATTGGAATGTTCACACCAATTAATCAGAACGTTCGCATTTGCAACGTAAGTGTGAAACTGCAAGGGAACTAATTAATGAGAGCTCCCCTGGGTGGGCGCTCTAACGGTAGTATATGGTATCACCATCATATATTCCCTTCTTCCCATAAAAGAAAATCACCCAATACTCCACAAGAAGAAATATTCCTGATATCATCGAATAATCCACACATGAGACAAAGCTTAATGCTGGAACAAGACTGATTTACTGAAAGCAACAGGCATTCAATTTAAACAGTAACAAACTCCTCCTCTGGGCCAGGCTAGATAATTGAGTTTCAGCAATATACAAAGCTCAATTATCTGCTGGCCAGAAACATTACAATTTACAACATTTTCAGAAAAGTACTTTTTATAATACATACAAATATAACATTAACATCCCTGGGTAGCAGAGGATACTGGTAGTCATATGTCCAAATATCACGAATTTCCGTTCGGTAGTTTCCGTGTCGCATCGTGTGGAAGTTTGACCGGCTTGCCATGTGGAGGTATCCGATTTAGAGTTCCATGAAATCAGCAGCAAGAGCCGGTCTCCGTTCGCGTCTAATTGCACGAAAACCACCGTTCGTATGATGCAGCAGGTTACATGTGAATGTTCCCCTCGTTCGGTAGGTTCTATCTACCGAATGCCAGTTTGATTCGTGGAGGGGAATGTATTCAGCCAGGACTTCCATGAGGGTCGGGCGTTCGCATGTTTGTCGTGACGAAAATAGTTCCAGGCAATTCATGTGTAAGTCCCGCTGACCGCATTCGTGAGTTTTAAGATGGCCGAAATCCTTTGTTCTCACCACATGTTCATATGCCGAATGGCGGCCACCTAGTAGCAATTAAGTTGTGGTTTCCTCTGCATTCTAATGCTGATTGCTACCCAGGGTGGGTGGTCTCCGTTTGGTAAACAAATACATTTATTCAATACATAGTGAAACAAACTGATACAGGCATTTAAACAGCAGGGAGAAGGTATAACTGAAGGCACACAGGTAAGTACATGAAAATCCCCCCTTTTTCTCCCTGCTCTGGCAACTCGGTTAGACCTTTCCTGGTCCAGTAGGGTTGACGGGAAATTCAAAGTTTAGTCTGATGCCAGGTCAGTTTGGCGTGACAGTCCATCAGCATTCCCAGTTTGCTTGCCTGGGCGATAATGTATGGTAAAATCGTAGGGTTGTAAGGCAAGGCTCCAGCGCAGCAAACGGGTGTTATCCCTTGAGACCCAGTTGAGCCAGACCATAGATTGTGGTCAGTGATAAGGGTGAAGGGCCAGCCACAGAGGTAGGGGGTGAGCTTTTTGAGAGCCCAAATCAATGCCAGACACTCTTTTTCAATAGTCGCATAACTGACCTCCCTTGGCAACAGCTTCCGACTAGGTAGGCCACCGGGTGTTCTCCTCCATCATCTCCGATTTGGCCTCTCCGATTTGGCTTAATACATTGAAGCGTCTGTGTGGACAATAAATCTTTTGTTAGGATCTGGGGTAGCTAACACGGAGCATTAACTAAAGCCTTCTTTAACGCTTGGAAAGCCACCTCGCATTCCAGGGACCACAGTCGGGGGAACATCTTTTTGGTCAAGTCGGTCAGGCGTTTGGCCAGGGCGCTATAGTCCGGTACAAAGCGTCTGTAATAGCCGGCTGTTCCCAAGAAGGCCATGACTTGTGTCTTGGTGTGGGGAGTGGGCCAATCAGCAACGGCCTCGATCTTACCCGGCTCTGGCCGTTGCTTACCACACCCCACTCTGTGGCCCAAATATTGTACCTCTGCCATACCAATGTGACACTTGTCTGGTTTCAAGGTTAACCCGGCCCTCCTGATCCTATCTAATACTGTCCCTACGTGTTCCAGATGTGCCTCCCAGGTATTGCTATAGATGGCGATATTATCTAGGTAGGCTCACGCGTAATCCTGGAGACCTTCCAACAAGTCGTCTACCATCCGTTGGAAGGTGGCCAGTGCCTTCTTTATCCCGAACGGCATAACCCGAAATTGGTATAGGCCGAACGGGGTGATGAAAGCTGACTTCGGTATTGCATCTTCTGCTGGGGGATTTGCCAATATCCCTTACATAGGTCGATTTTGGTCAGATACTTCCCTGCAGAGATATGGTCAAGCAGTTCGTCCATCCGTGGCATCGGATAGGCGTTGGTGACTGTCTTGTCATTGAGCCGCCGGTAATCTACACAGAAGCGTCAGTGAAACAAACTGATACAGGCATTTAAACAGCAGGGAGAAGGTATAACTGAAGGCACACAGGTAAGTACATGAAAATCCTTCACAGGCGCCATTCATATAGACAAATGCCAGCCAGGGGGAGCATTGGTACCCCGAAAGAAGACGCTTCCCTTGCCCAGTTTTCACACAGGGACCTTCGTGAATGAAGACTGGCCAAGGAATGTACCGTCATGAGGGTCTCTGAGGTTGGAGGGGACACTTTTGGGGCACTGGCTAGTTTGGCAGGCTTTTCTGTGCCTGGGAGACAAATGGACGGTCTCTTTTCCCACGCCTTGGCTCCCAGGCACAGAGGCTCCTGGGATGAAGAGCCCCCCTGCCCCCCCCGTCGGCTTGGATCCCTCGCCTGAGTGGCGGGCTTTCGATATTTGGGAGACAAAGGAACAGCAACCCCCTGTTCCTGTGCTTGTGCCTCCTGGTGTAGAGGATCCTGGGATACGACCCCTGTGTGTGTGCATTGAAGACCCCTTGCATGGGGCTATGCATAAAATCTGTGTGTTGCTCAATAAAATTGTGTTGTACCTCCAGAACTGTGTGTCGACCAGTTACTGGGGGAATGGCTGTCTGCCTGTTCTAAGGGTTCCTGAGGGGCTGAAGGAAGGGAATAGTGGAGGTAACTGGTCGGGTTACCAGGGGTCCGCTACACCATGCATACCTCAAATTCCACCAAGACTTGGTTGCAGAAGAATTCCTGGAAAATTCTACAGTGGCCATCACAGTTACCTAACTTGAACCCCATAGAAAATCTCTGGTGGGATTTAAAGAATGCGGTTGTAGCACAAAGAACCCAAGAATATTACTGAACTGAAGGATATTGCTTATAGCAGTGGACTAAGATCCCTCAGGAACGCTGCCAGAATCTGTCTGGCTATGCATCTCGTTTGCAGCAGATAATAACAGCAAAAGATACTAAATACTAAAATACTTTCATAAAGGGGTTGAATTATGAGTCTGGAGAAGTCATTATAAATTGCAATTTCAGTAGAATTTTGGAGAACCCCGTGAAGCATTCGTGTTGAGTTATTTCAATTGTTTTTGTTCTGGGAATAACAGTAATGGATGCCACAGCCTTTACCACGCTGAGCGCTGGTTAACGTTAGATTTATGTAATAATAAAGGCATAGTTCCTTCACGTATTCTTTGTGTATTTCATGTTGTTGTACATACATTTTTTTTTTTTTTTTATTCTTTATTTTTGTTGTGCATTATGGGTTACAAACATGCCTGTTATGCCACGACAGCAGTCACAGGTATATCAACGTAAACATTGTCATGACAGGTTTAAGCTGCACATTTTTTATAAGTAGGTATGCGAGTTGTTAAAAGTTATGCTTATTAACAGGTGGTTGTTGTTCTATGCCTGGCACACTTTAGCAATTATTTGACTTAAACAATTATTAAACTTAAGGGAAACAAGCTTAGTCTAGTAGTGTTACTCAGATATCAGAAATACAGTTTTGTTCATGCTTAGATTGTTAGGTCTATTTTCTGTCCTATTGCTTGTTAGATATTATATTATTATCGGGTTAGTGTGTGTCAGCACATAAACAATAGGCAGGCATCATTGTAGGGCATAGCAACCGGTCGATGATCTATAATGGCTTAAAAGAAAAGGAAAATAAAACCTATTTTAACAGAAACTTATCGGGCATTATGCCCTGCAGGGACCTCACAAGATCAGCCAGGCTGCCGCAAAGTTCAGTGTCCACTCATCAGGTGCCAAAGGTAGTGAGACATTGCCTCCATCTCATTCAGCCATCACGGGAAGGTCATTCCGCATGGACCGCGCCGCTCTGTATACACAGTTCAACCGATGCCCAGGGATGGGAGGGTGGTAGCAGGTGGGTGCCGTAGGCCGCTTGTTTCGACTGTAGCGCAACAGGGCGAGGGGTACTTCCAGCCCTCGGCATGCAAGAGGGTGTGTTGCTCTGGGCCGCCTCCTCTGGAACTGCTGGTCGGGTCTGTGGGTCTCTTGTTGGGCCAAAGCTTGGTGGAGTGTTTGAGTGTGGACGCCTTGTTGGTGCTTGAGGAGGTGGCGGTCTGTGGCTGGGGACGCGTGGGTCTGCGCCCTTGCTGTGGGTTTCGCTCTCGGAGGCACCATTTTTGTACTCTCTTCTGTCTGCGAGGTGTGCCTCGTGGCCGAGGGCGTGAGGAGGGTGCCGTCGGTAGGTACTCTTCCAGAGTGTGTGCCCCAGCCTGCCGCTCTGCCAATTTTGTCCAGAAGGCTGCGAATGTGGCCTCCAGCCGCGTGAGGATGTCGGGCCACTGTGCTTTCAGGCCAATGTTTGTCGCCATTTCGGGTTCGGTAAGCGCTGCTTCTGTGTGCTTCCCGCGGGGCTGTTGGGGTCTGACAGGGACCGGGATGACCCCCACTGGTCCATAGGGGGGGGGACTGAGGTCCAATCGCCAGCCTTTTGCCTTTGAGAGCAACCGGGGAGCGGCCGTCTCCCCAGTGCCATGCTGGTTTGCAGGCCGCAGTTGTCTCTCCGATGATTTTTGCACGGATGGCATCATGTTTGGTGAGCCCTGCTAGTTCACCTCTCGATTGGTGACCCTTTTGGGTCGTTTGCGGGCCATTTGTGGCCTGTATGTAGCGATTTGTGCCTTGAAAAGCAGGAGCCATGCTGTTCTGCATCCTCTCTGTTCAGCGGCTAGGCCCCGCCCCCCCGTTGTACATACATTTTAAGTAAACTATAAAGAATGATCTTTTACAAGATTTTCTTTTTCTTCAATATGTGACGCAAAAATATGGATTTTTGGTTATAGTGTTAGATATTACATGCAGACACTAGACAATATTTTATGGTAAATTCAGACCATTAAGGTGAAATCATCCTAGCTCCAGCATTCCTTGTGAGAGGAGCGAGCGGCTGGCATTTACAGATTACAGCCTTCGAGATACCTCCCAAGTGTCCCTATTTAGGAGGGACAGTCCCTATATTGGGCCCAAATCTCTCTGTCCCTGTTTTCTATCCTAATGTCCCTCTTTTTTTTTCATAATACTTTATTTTTTCATCTTGGCAGGGAGACAGAGACATGACATCGGAATACTGGGTGTTACATGTTGCCAGATTAAATATCATAATATATCGGTACAAAATGCTTACAGTAGATACATGCAATACAATTTATATTGATATGAAACTCACATAGGCAAAGTTGTCTCCGTCCGCCAAGGGTTTTTCATGTTTATAGACATTAACTTTATAATAAGACATATTTGACAAGACTCACTGGTTCAGCCTCTCGACAAAGCAAGCACCTGCAATCGGTTGCTGACATACCCTGGTTATTCACTATGCGCAGTACACTGAACCTTGGCAGAATCGGGCCAATGCCTATTACTATGTCTTGCGGCGTAAGTCAGCCCCTTGGAAGTAGGGTTTTCTAAACAAGAGAAGAAAAAGCTAGATCTGGAAAAGAGAGGGGGGTGGGATATCTGTGGTAATAAATATTTCTCGTACAGAGCCGCGCCCTGGGGCGGCATGGGGCGGCGACCCAATAAAACTGTCTCGCACCGGGGTGGCCGGTTGTCTCAGGTCTCACCGAGTGCGCTGTCGTCCCACGGGTCCCAAATCTTGTGGAAGGTTTTAGTGGACCCCCGTACTCTGGCTGTCAGGTCATCCATTAGTCTTATCTCTTTAATTCTAGCTATCATTTCTGTCACCCCTGGGGTGGTTGGCCGTAGCCAAGCGGCTGCTGCCGCCTTCCTAGCCGCTAGTGTCCTAATGTCCCTCTTTTATAGGAGCTACATCTGAGTGTGTAACCAAGCTCCACAGCAATAATACTCTCAGTAATGTGTCTGTGTATAACAGAGCTCCACAGCAATAATACTCCCAGTAATGTGTCTGAGTGTATAACAGAGCTCCACAGCAATAATACTCACAGTAATGTGTCTGAGTGTATAACAGAGCTCCACAGCAATAATACTCCCAGTAATGTGTCTGAGTGTGTAACAGAGCTCACAGCAATAATACTCCCAGTAATGTGTCTGAGTGTATAACAGAGCTCCACAACAATAATACTCCCAGTAATGTGTCTGAGTGAATAACAGAGCTCCACAGCAATAATACTCCCAGTAATGTGTCTGAGTGTATAACAGAGCCCCACAGCAATAATACTCCCAGTAATGTGTCTGAGTGTGTAACAGAGCTCCACAGCAATAATACTCCCAGTAATGTGCCTGAGTGTATAACAGAGCTACACAGCAATAATACTCCCACTACTGTGTCTGAGTGTATAACAGAGCCCCACAGCAATAATACTCCCAGTAATGTGTCTGAGTGTATAACAGAGCCCCACAGCAATAATACTCCCAGTAATGTGTCTTTAAACTACAATAAATGTGTTTAGAAATCAGTCTTTGTAAATAAGATACATTGTTATTACTAAGGCACCTAAAGTTTCTGAACAGTCTGCCACTGTATTTGGAAAGACATAGAAGAATAGAAATTAATTAACATTAATTTTGTTAAAGGGATCCTATAGAGTAATGTAAATTTATTTAAATGGGAGGCAGAATGGACAGAGTTTGGGATCCGGTCCTGCCAGTTACAGTTACAATCAATTACATAGCGCTAACATATTCCTCAGCGCTGTACAACAGGTCAAACAAC